TGAGCAGCTCCATGGTCTGAAAGGGTGGGGAAACAGCCCAATGAGCATCACCACAGAGGAGCCAATCAGCTGGCAGCTAGAAGTTTGCTTGGGGCCACTGTGAGCCAATCATCAGCCGGCAGCTGGAAGTTTGCTGGGGCCCCTTGGGCTGTGGCTCTCAACAGACGAGATAAAGGGAGACTGCTATGGGTGGCTGCAGGTGCAGGCTCTCAATCCAGGGCACCCTTGCTCCTGGTGTAGCTCACCTTGAGCAGGTGGGAAGGGCACAGGCCAGCACCATGCGGAGGCTCTTCCTATGTTATTTCCAAGACTTTAAGCCCATTAATGGAACCAGAAAGCAGGCCCCAGGGGACAGGGGATTTTCCCTGTGATCACTGAGCTCTTGGGCTGTAATGCTGTCCTCTAGGATCTGTCCGTCTTCAAGCCACCACACGGCTTTGCCTTGGCTGGCAGTTTCTGATTCCCAGCTGTCGGGGTGTCTGGGATGGCTGTCACTGAATGTCCACGGAGCACAAGGAAGGAGGAAGCTTGTTCCTCCAAAGAAGCAAGCAAACCGATAACCATCATCAGAACACCCAGTTACGTGCACGAGCACATCTGTAGACCTGCGGGATTCTGTGGCTTTTTTTTTGTAAGCTGCTTATTCACTGTTGTGTGGGATCATGAGCTCTTTGAATATAGGACCATGTATGACATTTTTTAAAAAAAAAATAATTTCTGCTAAACAGAGCCTTTTATTCAGGAGACCTCCAGTAAGGTCTGATGGACACACCGTTTTATAAAATTTGGAGTGGGGGGGAATGGATCTGTCTTATCCCTAGCACTATCTTCAATCCCTGTGTGGGAATATAGTAAGTGTTCAATAAATAGGTATACGATCAGCTTAGTGCCCTCAGGAATTTCCAGGTCTTCCTATTACCCCGACTGACTCGCGACTGTTTTACTTGGGATTGTCGGGGTTTGAATCAATACTGGGACCTGTGAAGCAGCCTAACTGAGATGAGCATCCTCACTGGATGCTAATCTGAAGTGGAATGTTCTAGTTCATTGGAAAGGGTGAGTTATTAGAGGCAGAGGCAACTGTACGGCAGCTGAGCACCCTCCTGGTTGCTAGGCAACTGCGGGACACTCTCGGGTCTTACCTAGCTTCTCTAACCTCGCCACACCTGTTCCCTCATCCAGGAAATAATTTCAACACTTCTATCTATCGCCAGGCAGTCAACAAGTATTTATGGAATACCCACGGACGCACGGCAATAAAGTTATGCTTACTCAAGCCCAGAATAAAGGCGACAGCGAAGCAGAGGATTAGTCGGAATGCCTGGGCAAACCAGACTCAAGGAGAAGCATTAGGTTCTAAATCCTCGGGGTGATTGTGGTCAGCCAGTCACCGCTTTGGGGGATTTTCAAAGTAGTCCCTGAAAAGTCTTATCTACCCTCTTTCATACTGTGTGTATGTTGGTTTTGTGTCTCTGCTGTGATAAACCACCTCCGACTTGGTGGCTTAAAGCCACACAAGTTGATGGCTGCCAATTCCGGAGCTTAGAACTTGAACATGGATGAACAGCGAGGTATGCACAGGGCCACAGCCTGTTCTGGAAGCCCGGCCCCGTTCAGATTTCAGAGGACGCTGCATCCTTAGGCTCTTGGCCCCTTCTCCATCTGCAAAGCCAGCAAGTCTTCCTCACGCTCCCACCTCTCAGCTCTCCTCTTTTCTGCCTCCCTCTTGCACTTGTAAGGATCTTTGCAATGACATTGCCCCACCTAGATAATACAGAAAATCTCCGCGTCTCAAGGCGGACTGATCAGCAACTGTAATCCCATCAGCAACCCTGATGCGCCCTTTCCATGCGGCCTAACATGTTCACGGGGTCTGGAGCTTAGGACGTGGGAGGATGTCATTCCTCCTACAATAGCCAGTGTCTGTCTATAACTTTATCCACTGAGAGGAACGATGTGTCATGCATTCTGCAGGTACAACCCAGGGATCTAGGCCAGACTATTACCCTGAGAACTGTCTATCCTAAGGAAGGTGACAAATGTGTAATATATTGTCTGCCACCAAAACCAACCTTGACATCTATAACGTGATTTACATCCACCTTCCTTGCTGAAACCTCAGGTCTACTTTGCAAGACAGGCCAGGAAGGTAGTATCAGCTCTGATTTACAGAGAAGGATCCTGAAATGCAGAGATTTTTTTTTTTCTTGAGGCCACAAAAATGGAAGATTCCAACCCAGGAGTGTAGACTTTTGATCCACTGCTCTCTTGAGTCCCCACAAAAAACAACAACAACAACAACAACAACAACAACAACAACAAACTACACTAGGCATCATCTCAACGAGCACTGCCAAAAGAAAAGGCGAGAGATCTTGCTTCTATTTGATGAAAGAAAAAACAGATGTGAGGTTACTCAGAAACTTAGAGGTATGCAATGCAGCAGGGCACTGTGATGCATGACTATAATCCTAGCAGCTTGGGAGACTGAGGCAGGAAGATAGCAAGTTCAAAGCCAGCCTCAACAGTGAGGCGTAAGCAACTCTTCAAGAGCCTGTCTCTAAATATAAAAAGGGACTAGGGATATGGCTTGGTAGTTAAGTGCCCCTGGTTCAATCCCTAGTACACACACACACACACACACACACACACACACACACACACACACAATGCATTCTCCCAGAGCTCAGGAGAGGCATCAGCCTAATAATTCAGAGCTTGTCCCTTATCCATGTATGGACAGAGACAACACGGACAGGGCAGGAAGGATGGCATCTCCAGGCAGAGCCATTGTATGTCTGAGGAGCAAAAAAATGCACACACCAGGTCCAAAGAACTCGAACTGCATTTCCAGTGCCTTTGCGTTCATGAGGGCACGGAGCTGTGGGGCAGCTGTGGCCTGGCGTGCATGTCAGTAGCTCTGTGCAAACACAGACAACCAGAAAAGCTGAGTTCTGTTGAAATATTTCACTTGTGTTTGCAAGAGAGGGTTATTTTATTCTCCAAAAAGCTGCATGATTTAAGTGGAGGAAACCAAGATAAGAAATTCGATCTTTCTAACCACAATCTCGCAGATTTGCTGGAGGTGTGTGTGTGTGTGTGTGTGTGTGTGTGTGTGTGTGTGTGTGTGTGTGGGAGAGAGAGAGAGAGAGAGAGAGAGAGAAGAGAGGAAGGGAGGAGGGGGGAAGGAAGGAGAATTCTTATGCCCAACCCAAAGAGGTACCCTGATGCCTACGAGCTGGCTGTGGCCAATCCTGATGAGGGTTGGACATCGGAGTGGTCCAGCACTTGAGAAGCTGCTGGTGGTGACCTCAACAGGGAAGTCCTTCCTTTTGAAGTGAGACGTTGCTGTTTTCCTTCCAACCACCTGTGAAGGCAGAAACTCACAGAGGCTGAGGTCAGGAGCACCTGCCGGCCACGCTCCACAGAGGCACGCGGTACCCAGCTGCAGAGCAGCCCACGGTGGCATCCTGTCAAGGTAAGAACGCCCCAGCCCCAGGGTCCCCGGATGCTAAGTTGGTGAGACGTCAGGGAAACGCCAGTCCCCGATACCACGAGGGAAACAGGCAGAAGTAAATGATAATGGGAAGCCGAGCGTGACTCCTTTCCTTAATTGCCAAAACCAGTTCCCACGAGGTGCATAAATTGCGGTTCCTATTAACAGCCCTATGAATAATAATCAGTTTACTTTTTGACTTGGATCTAAATATACTTTCTATAAGATTTCATCTTTTATTCAGCTGTTTAAAAGCAGAACATCTAATTACAGTTCCTATTAGTCAACATTAATTTTTTTTTCCCCCTTTTTGTCATGGGGCATGTGTGATGACTGATTTTTCTAAAAACAGAATTTTTTAGCATATGGAACAAATCGTGTTATTATGAATGCATTCCCAGATGACTCTGCATTTCAATTCCCTTAATTATTTAGTCATTGCTGATTATGTCTTTTTACAATTCATTATCCCATTTCTTGCCACGCAGGCATTTTATTCATTATCAAAATGAAGAGCTTGACCTCCAGGAAAAAAAAAAAAAAGATAATAAAGAACGGGTGACATATTTTTTTTTAAAAAGTCTGCGCTTCCTTTCTCGATCATTTCCATGCTATGCAAAACAACATTCTAAACTGCAAGTTTTTCAAGGACATCATCAGGTACCAATGACAGCGGGGTAGGAAGAGGCTGGCAGGGTGACAGGAAGGAGCAGCTATGGGAGTGCGTCCATGAGATGCCACCTCGGCTCCTGACACTTCCACGTTCTCACCTTAAAGAAAAATACCATGTGCGTAGTAGATTGTCCTTCCAGTTTTATTCAAAAGCTAACAAGATGTTTCAAAAAAAAAAAAAAAAAAGCTAAGTAGTATTGGGAAGCCCAGGAGAAGAAACATTTGCTAAATTAAAAGAGAACTCACTCTTAATGAGGATTCATTGTGTCCGCAGGCTGATCCCATTGATGTTATGAAACCAGATTCTGACCTGGACTATCTAATAAGGCCTGGTACTGAGATGCTGGTGCAGATGTGGGTTCATTATCTCCGCGAGGTCTGTGTAGCTCGTCTGAGACCAAATTCACGGCAAAAATTAAAAAAGGCCAAGGGAAATAATTAAAAGATGGAGGAGGCTGAGAAAATGAGGAACTCAAGGAGGGGAAGTACACCCAGTCCTGGAGCCTGGCCTCTATCCAAGATGCCAGTTTCAAATGGAAGACATCTTGGGAAGAATTCCCTGGGCTACCTCAGTCTCTCTCTTTTATTTGTAATCTAAACGACAGAAGTGACACTGTCAGATGACAGTGATGTGTGGCAAAACTAGGGAACTTTTCATGAAGGATAGCTTCTAGCTGAACATGACTCTAGTGAGCATGTTAAACTGTGTGCTGCTCAGCAGGATGTGGTAACGGAACACGTGGGCTTTTGATCATGAACAACATAACAGATATCTAATAACTGGGCAGGGGAGGGGGAGCTGTGACCCAGGCCTGGCAAAGCTGGCCATAAGGGGCCCCCAAACAGTGTCTGGACCTTCCTCCCAATGCCCACCTGGAGGTCTACAAGGGTAGCAGGTGGAGGCCGAGAGAGGCTGAGGGAGAGAGAGAGAGAGAGAGAGAGAGAGAGAGAGAGAGAGAGAGAGAGAGAGAGAGAGAGAGAGGGGATTTCTTTGGAGAAAGTTGCTCTAGTACTGTGACATTTTTTCTTCTCCATCTGAAGTAGGAGAGCGAAGGGACATATTTCTTTGTCCCCTGTAGCTAACCCTCAGAGGATTTTATATTGTCTGTGAGATGGGACTTTAGCCTGAAAATGTCTGCAGGGGAGAGGCTGCTGACTGTCCTGAGACAGCAGCACACAGGCTGCTCTCTGTGTCACCTGCACTCGTAGCTGCAGAGTATACCACCAGGTACAGAAGATGGCGTGGGCAGGGACAGGGAGGGAAGGGGGAGCTAACATCAGATGTTCACGGTGGGTGAAAATCTTCTGGAACCAAACCTTGTGCTAAATATATATAACACCAACTTGACCCTTTCCACCATGGTGACGTTAAGCACATGCACACTGTGGTGCCACCATCACCACCCTCCATCCACTGAACGTTTTTCATCTTCCCAAACTGAAACGCCACACATTGAACAACCCACAATGGTGACGTGTTAGAGAACTCGGCCAAAGGCCTGGCTCTGCCTTTGCCCCTCACACCTGTGTCCCATGTCTGAGGCTCTTCCTTGCTTCGTGCAGATCTAGGTTTCTGTTTATATCCTATTCCTTCTGCCTTCAAGAACCACATGCAGCATTTCCTGCAGGGTAGGTCTACTGACAGTTAATTCCTTCTGTTTCTGTCCCTCTGAGAACACCTTTACTTCTCCCTAACATTTTTTGGGGGTGGAGTTAGGTAGGGTCCTGGGGACTGAATTCAGGGACACTCGACCACTGAGCCACGTCCCCAGCCCTATTTTGCATTTTATTTAGAGACAGGGTCTCCCTGAGGTGCTTAGCGCCTTGCTGTTGCCGAGGCTGGCTTTGAACTCGCCATCCTCCTGCCTCAGCCCCCTGGAGTGCGCCATTGCCCCTGGCTATTTGTCCTTCATTTTTGAAGAATGTTTTTGTTAAGTAAAGGATGCTGTTCCACCGTCTTCTTGCTTGCCTGGTTTTGGAGAGTGGTCTGATGTACTTCCTACACTGGGTCCTCTCTAGGCAACACAGCTTTTCCTCCCACTAACTTCAAGATTTTTCTCTCTTTGGTTTTCAGGGGCTAGATACCCCTTAGTATGTGTGTGTGTGTATGTGTGTTGGTATTTATCTTGCCAGGTACTCTGGTAGCTTGAGTTTCTGGGATATATGCTTTGGTGTCTGCCATTAAATTTGGACATTTTTCCCATGATTTTTTTTCTACTTTGTTCTCTTTTTTCTCCTTCTGGGATTCCAATCACATGAGTATTAAATCATTTAAACACTTCAGGTCTTCAATGCTCGTTTCTGTTTGTTTTATTTTCTTTTAATCTCTTTGCATTTCATCTTTCTGTGTTTTCCATTTCTAATGGTTTCATTGGGCTCCCTCCTAGCAGTTTCCATCTCTCTGGCAAAATTACTAATATATTATTTTGCATGCTGTGTCCATTTTCTTTAAGAGCCATTATCATATTAGAAGTAGCCATTTAAATTCCCATGTTTTTCTTTTTTTTTTTTTTGGAGAGAGAGAGAGAGAGAGAGAGAGAGAGAGAGAGAGAGAGAGAGAGAGAGAGAGAGAGAGAGAATTTTAGTATTTATTTTTTAGTTTTTGGCAGACACAACATTTTTGTTGGTATATGGTGCTGAGGATCGAACCCGGGCCGCACACATACCAGGTGGGTGCGCTACCGCTTGAGCCACATCCCCAGCCCCTCATGTTTTTTTAAAATATATTTTTAGTTGTTGATGGACCTTTATTTTACTTATTTGCATGCGGTGCTGAGAATCGAGCCTAGTAGCTCACACACACCAGGCAAGTGGGCTACCACTCAGCCCCAGCCCCTTCCCTGAGTCCTCTGTGATGCTGACCTTGCTGCTTGCTTTGCCCCTTCAGACTGCTTCTTCTTGCTTTTTTGATTGTCACATATTTTGTTTTTGTTGAAAGCCAAATATGTTGCCTATAACAGGAGATTCTGAGAAAAAGTACATATATATATTCGGAGGAAAAAAATACATGCTTGGCGATAAGAACACCTCTGTCCAGCTGGACCTCTGGGGTGGAGGGCTGTTTGCTGGGCAGGGTGTGGAGTCTGCTCTCTGTGTGGCTGTTGAGTCTTGCCCTTGCCTTGGGGACCTTCCTCTGCATGGCTCTCCCAGTTGTACCCCATGTTACTAGGACTCGGGGCTCCTTAGTGTGGTGGTTGGAGAGCTGGGGAGGGAAGCTGGTGTGTGATGTCTGATGACCCCTCCACCCTGGACAGGCTCTGTGGACGTGGTCTTGATGGGCTGTCCACCAGCGTCCCTGCCTTTCCTCCAGACTCCACAGCCTTGGCCCACACGCCTGCCGCTTCCCCCAGTTTTAAAGGGTTAGTTTTCTCCTGTTCCCCTCCCTAGGTACATGGGTGCCCACCTTGCTTTGTGCTTAGGAAGGACAGGAGAGATGAGTTAGAGTTGAGTTTGGGGTGTGGGTTCCTCCGTGCCCTCAGGCTGTAGTGCTGTGTCTCTGTAGATGAAGGCTCTGACCCAAGGGAGAGAGGAGAAGGGTTGGGACGCAGGCTCACAGGCAGGGGGGGGGGTGCCTGGTGGGGCACAACCCGCTAGAGAACGCTAACCTTCCTGGGTTTGTGGCCTGCCCTGTGACCCCCACATCTGACCTTTAGCAATTTGCTAAATGTTTCCAGCTGAATCTTCTAATTGGCTTTATGACCTTGGGAACGACCCCACATAAGCAATGCTCAGGGCCAGCCTCCTTCCTGGAGGGGTCCCTCTGTGTTTTAGGTCAGCTGTTTGCCCTGCAAATTTAGTTCTTCTTTGGGTTTCAAAAGAGTAGTTAACTTTCTGTTTCTCTGGCTTTTTCCCGTTATACGAGTGGGATCAGAGCTTCGTTAGACTTTTTTTTTTTGTTGTAGCTCTGAGGTTAAGTGTAACTGTTTTAAATAGCACTTTACCAAGTTTTATGAAATCCTTCACTTCCTTTGAGTTACACAAGGAGCCTGGCTCAAGCACATATTAACTGCTGTGACGATCAGAGAAGAAAATCAGTTGGGAACTTGCTGTTTACCATGCCGAGTACGTATGCCCAGTGCTTCATGGTTGAGTAATCACAGGCGCCATTATAGATGACTAACACGTCCCCCACGACTTAATACACTCAAAAGTAAAAGTGCACAAAGTTTGTGATTTTAGATGTCCTTGAGTTCCTATAAAGACGCAAATTTTCTATATGTAAAATTTCTGGACCCAAGAAATTACTGGCTTTTTTTTAGACTAATAACTTAAGGCACTGAATGCAATTTAACAAATAATATCTAAAATTCACAAGTATATAAGATGCTTTTAAGTATTAAATGAGCCAGTTTTTGAAGTTAGATTTCCAGTGAATCATCTAAGTACTTATTATATTAGCCGGGTGCTATAATATCACCCACAAAAATGTAAACAATCTCACTCTAATTGAAATTAAATCTATACCTCATAAAACGTACAATATGCACAAAATTATGAAAAGAGGCAGATGATCCTTCATGTATGGTACAGCAACATCAACTAGTTTCTCTCTGAATCTTTTTTTTTTGGGGAGGGAGGGGAGTATTAGAGACTGAACCCAAGGGTGCTTAAACACTGAGCCATATCTCCAACCTTTAAATTTTTTTTTTTTTTTTTTTTTAAATTCAGAGACAGGATCCTGCTAAGCTGTTTAGGGCCTTGGTAAGTTTCTGAGGCTGGCTTTGAACTCAGCTTCCTGAGCCATCACTCCTGATGGCTTTTCTGAACCTGCCTCTTGGAAGACTTCCCATAGTGTAATTCACTGTCCATTCAACTCCAAGTTGATTCCTGAGTGTAATGTTGCTTTCCTCGGTTGGATAAATCTTTATGTAGAAAGGACGTAGGTTGAAGCAGGACAATCTATATCATTTGCCAGGAAGTGAGACAGCCGACCCCAACAACTACCAGTTTTATTTGCATGTGAAAATATTGCTATCAAAAGTTTTTCACAATTTGTAATCCTTTGAGAACTCTCAAAAGAAATCATGAGAAAGTAGGACACATATCATAAAACTTACTTTGCCTAAGTAATCTGGTGCATAATTAAGCATATTTAGTATAATTATGTATTTGTTTTTTTAAAAAAGCAACTTCCAGGCATAAGCTGATGTGAAAATAGTTTGATGATCAACTAAGCAGGCAAAGAAATTTAAGCAAGCACTTCAACCAGGCTTACAAAGCGAAAAAGCTACCAACCACCTAGCAAACAAATGTTCCACCAGGGGGTGTCGTCTGCATTTAGTCCTTTTGCAGCCACTTAGTACATGCACGTAAATTGTTGGGGAATAAAAAATCCCCTATATTTCTGGAGAGTGACGTATAATGTCCTGATAACTTTTTTTATTTTTATCCCAAGGAAGGTTTGTCTTTATGCTTTATCGTTGATTAATTTCAAAGTGATTTCTGATGCCTTTTGTTTTTCAAATTAATGTCAAGATGTAAAGAAACTGTAAGCAAATATTTGAATTCTTCAGGAAACTTTGCTATGAATGCTCGGTTAATCCTTTCCTATAGCCAGGAATCCTTTATCAAAGCAATTATTTCCTAGCCATAAGAACAATCTGGTTATATTCTATAGCTGGATTTAGTAGATTAAGATTTAAGTGAACCTCATCTTTAATGTATTTGAAAAGCACTGATTAGTCTAATAACAAGAATGATATCAGCTATCAGCCATCAGTCTCAAAATAAAATGTTTATTTCAATTGCAGATTTATAAAGTGGTTCACCTCCAGGACCATGTCGGATGAATGAAAACATTTCACTAGACATATTGACTCAGGATGATGTGTGTATTCGCAAATTCATCCAACAGTCAATGTCATAGCCATGTGAAGTTGTGAATGAGGTCAATGGCTTTTTTTTTTTTCCTTGCAAAAATGTGTACTTCATTGAAATCTATATTGGTTCAAACTCAAGCAGCCATCAGCGGCAGAACTGTGGTTGATGTGGAAGCGTCTGATGCTGAGACCCAAGTGAACACTCCTACCCAGACAGTCAGGAGCCTGAGCTTCCCTACCTGGAACTACGGTGTCTCCATCTTTATCGGCCTCTCTCCTCAGAGACAGAGAGTACTGATGTGATTGCCCTCGCTGGCCAGAATGTCTCCACAGGAGGTGCCAGCCACCCTGGCCCTCAATAGACAGCAGCTTAGCAGGCAATAAGAAACCAGCACTTCAAGATGTGTTCCTCAGTAGCTGGGTCACGCATGACCAGGTGCTCTGGGGTGATGGCATGTCACATGTGGCATGCACTGAGAGCCTGGGTCTAAATGCCTGCTCAACAGTTTGCAGCTTCTTGCCATCAAGGCAACAAATGTAGCTACAAGGCAGCCCTTCCTTTCTTTAGGGCTGTGTGGAAGACGCCACCCAGGTTAGTAAGAGTCTTGCTGCATCCCCGCAGGAAGAATTACTCAGTCTTACATTTTGAAAGTATCCGATTTTAAAAACATTGTGCTTCCTTGGTATGAACTGGGGATCAGTGTCAGGACCCCCTGCAGACACCCAAATCCACAGATGCTCAAGTGCCTTATACAGAAGGGTATCATGTTTGCATAGAACCTACATCCTCCCTCCTAATGGCTTAAATCATCTAGGATTACTTGTAATACCCAATACAAGGTACATGCTGTGTAAATAACTTATCCTGTATTGTTTAGAGAATCATGACAAGAAAAAAAAAATAAGATGGCAACTGTTCAGTACAGACGCAGTAATTCTAGACGTAACTACATAATACAGGAGGGACACATGAGATGAACAAGGCTCCAACATCGAGTGCTGGGGACAGACTGGACACCTCTGAAATATTGGAGGTCACAGAAGGACATGCCCACTCGTGACTCCATCTACACAGATCCAGAGAAGTGCTCGGGGCACAGAAAATTCAAGTTCTGTTTTTGGAAACTTCTGGAATTATTTTTTCCCCAGAGCATTTTCTATCTGAGGTGGTTGAGTGTGCAGGTGTGGACCTGCAGACCCAGGGCTGAGTGTGTCCCACAGGGTGTTGAAGGACACGGGCTGGGGCCTTGGAGCCTGGAGGTGAGCCCTGGGTCTTCAGGCTGTGCCTCAGCCTCTCTGCACCTCCGTTCCCACCCCTGGAAGACAGCATCATGCAGGGTTACCATGGGAATGAAGGGGACACTGGATGTGAAGGCACATAGAGCCATTGAGACGTTCAGCCACGTTGGCCTTCCTGTGTGACATATGCTTTCGTTGACAAAGTCTGCTCTAGTCCAAAGCCCTGCACCTCAAAGAAAGGGAAGTTATTGCAAATATTGGTTTGATGGGCTCTTCTTCATTTTTTAGTGACCAAAGGTCCTGTCTACATCTTTTGAGGGATGGTGAGTTTTCCAGTGCTGCTAAGACCCTGGGGAGACAGGGTGGGCTGGGGCCGAGGCCCGCCTTGAAAATGTGCTCCAACCCAAGCTATTGCTGATCTCACTTCCTAAACATTTCTTCTAATTCACCAAATATTTCCCCCCCCTGCCTTTTCATTCCACTTTCCCCCAGTCACATGGGCTTTGCTTTTGATGTGGCACACACTTTAAAAATACATTATTAATCAGACGAGCCCGTCACCCCTGGAGCTGACACTCTGTCCCCTGCTTATTCTTAACAAATCTCCCTTTGTGTTCCTTTGTGCTGAAGTGATTAATCATTTCACTATCCAGGGGCTGCTGACAATCTTTCCAGATGACTCCAGCTACCATGACCCCCTCCGCCCAGGCAGCCACACGTCAGGAACCTGCTCTGGGGTCTTTATTCCTGTCGCTGCGGGTACCTCCTTTCATAGGACAATGACTAGCGAACCTCCAAAAGAGCTCCGTTTGTATTTCTTGCCTTCCCCAGCCCCCCAGAGTTCAGGGTTGGGGTGTGTGTGTGGAGCGGGTAGTGAGGGCTTCAAAGTGCAAACAAGAGAACGGAAAGTTAAAAAGTCAGAACGAGGAGCGCTTGTTTTGCAGACTAGGTGGAAGGTTTTTCTCTTGGTTTTCCTGAGCAGTGGGGACACCTCCATTGCTGGAGGCAGAGGTTTCCTGCTCCCTTGTCCCCTCTGCCTCTGGTTATATCCATGACAGTTTCCAAGCACCCTGGGGCTGATGCCCAATCTCACCAGGATCTTCAGCTGTGATTTGGTTTCCGTGAATGCAGATTGGGGGCGCGGGGTGGTGGTGGTGGGGGTGGGGGTGGTGGCCTTTTTAAAATAAGCTATTACTAACAGTTTCAGCTCACATGAAAGTTACAGTTTTAAAAATCTCTCATTCCCCCACTGCTTCCCAGGTATATACTGTTAAACTGAATTCAAAAACATGTTTCAAGAACAGACCCCAAAATACAAGTTATTGTTAGAGAAAGGAAAGAAGAAATGATTCATAGAATAGAAGTGCAGGTACAAGTATCCTGATAATGTTAATCGATATGGAATATCAAGGTGATTTTTTAAAAAAGTACTTTATATGCATAAATATATTTGTATTTGAGAGTATTAAAAAGATATTTACAGTAGCTGAGGACTTGAGTTTTAAATTAATGCATAATAGCTTGATAATAATCTTGATGTTCATCTTAAGTACCTTTTTTTTTTTTTTTTTAGTATTGAGGATGGAACCTGGAGCCTCGTGCAGATAAGACAAGCACTCTACCCACTGAGCTACCTCCCCAACTGCTAATCTTAAGATTTTTTTAATCAGATCTCAGAAACCTAATCAATATTCACAGAAATGAGTAGAATATAAAATTCTTAATATTCTGATATGAGGATGCTAACCCACAACAAGGGGTGGTGAGGAGGAGAATAGAAGTCCTTTGGATTAGACAAAGGGGAAGAAAGGGAAGGGAGGGGAGATGGGAATAGGAAAGACAGCAGAATGATCAAACATCACTTTCCTATGTTCCTATGTGAATACACCACCAGTGAAACTCCACATCACATTCAACCACAAGAATGGGATGTTAGACTCCTTGTGTGTATAATATGCCAACTACACTCTAATTCCATGTATATCTAAAAAGAACAAATAATTTAGAAATCCTTAATATATTTTTTTAAATATTTATTTTTTAGTTGGACACAATATCTTTAGTTATTTATTTTTATGTGGTGCTGAGGATCGAACCCAGGGCCTCACATGTTCTAGGCGAGCGTTCTACTGCTGAGCCACAACCCCAGCCCAAAATCCCTAATATTTTAATTCCATAGAACTACAGACCTTCAATTGTTCAGTGTTATAATAAAAAAAAAATACTGCATTAAAAAGAAAATCTTATAATGCAAAAGCTGTAATAATAAGCAATGAACTGTTCACAGGATACAAGTTTTATAAGCTTCTAGGCTATCCAGTGGGGAAAACAAGACGCATATATACTTTCAGTGTGTGGGGGGAAGCCAAGATACAGGGGGGAAATCAGCTGATATGATCATGTAAAACTCCTTTCAGACCTAAGACTGCACATGGGAAGAGATCCAGCTGTCCTGATGTATCATCAGAAACTAAAGGTGCCTAGGGAAGTCGTCTTGCTTAGGAATGTTCACCAGAAGTGGAGGCGCTGAGCATAATTTCTTTCTAGAACCTCTCAGGCACAAATGGCCCCAGGAATGCAGCTTTGTGCAAATGGAAAAATGCTTCCTGTTAAAAACACAGTTCATTTGGGAGGAAAAGAACCCTGACACTGGGTGACCTATTCAGAAACTATGGGCTGTGTGCACAACTCTGCAAATTAGAACAAAACAACACTTGAATAAATCGGGGAGTGTGTTCTAAAAGTTTCAGAAAACTCCTGAGTTCCAACCTCTGCATTTCCTCAGTACTCACATTTCATTGAATCTAATGAGCATAAAACCAAAGAAATTACACGTCTGTAAATCAAATTTATCAGAACTTATAAAACAACACATAAATACGATGGTAAGAGAAAAAAAATTCGCTTTCTAAGTTTTTTTTTTAGGTTAAAATGAGATACGTAATTATAAGATTCTAAGAACTAGAATAAGGCAATTATGTCTTATTTAAAATATGTGATTATTATCTAGATAAATGTTCTCATTTTCAAGGCCTCCATCTCTTCCATGCTCAAACTATCATTTTCTATCTTAGAGATTATTTTTCTAAGATCTGTGTGTATACAATAGTAATTTGCAGCACATCAGTGTAATTTCACAACCCTTAATTTGAAAAATAACAGAGAACACTGTGGGGGTTTTCATAATAAATACAATTTAAAAATGTGTGTCTTGAGTTGATCACTTTGGATAGATGTGTTTTAATTGTTCCCAAACTGCTTTACCCAGAGCAGATTAGCAGAGGAAATAGCTTTGACTTCTAGGCCTGGCCTCTACCATCAGCAACGTGGCAATTAACCAAATTAGGCCTGCAAACTTATTATCTTGATATCTTTGACTCCTCAAGTTCATTACCTATCAAAATGTGAAACTCAAGTCTCACAAAAGATAATCAAGATCCCAGGGACTGATACAAAGAGCCCAAGTTCTCCTGAGGGGTCCGCTGTAGGACCTGCTGGGTTCCCTTCCATGTCTGAGCACTGGGAGCGAGCAAGTGAGTTTTCACCTGTTTGCATTTGCACTCATTGTACAGGATGTTCCAGTGGTTCCAGAAAACTCCACAGTCTTGGAAGTCCTTGGAGAGCAAAGGTTTTAGAGGAACAGAACCTCCAACGTGTTTGTTGTAGGACTGGAGGACAACAGAGTGGGAGAGCGGGGAGAGATTTTGAGCAAAAGGCCCAAGTTGGCTCATTCTTCTTCATGCACTTATTCAGTATTTTTTTGCGGGGGGTGGGTTGGGTGCAGGAGAGGTACAGGGGGTTGAACTCAGGGGCACTTGACACTGAGCCACATCCCCAGACCTATTTTGCATTTTATTTAGAGACAGAGTCTCACCAAGTTGCTTAGTGCCTTGCTTTTGCTGAGGCTGGCTTTGAACTCGAGATCCTCCTGTCTCAGCCTCCTGAGCTGCTGGGATTATAAGCGTGTGCCACCATGCCTGTCTTATTCTATGTTTTATAAGCACCCATTACATGCTGGTCATGGTGCCAGCCCCTGGGATTTGATGGATCCCTGGGAAATAAGACAGGCCATTGTGAGTAAGGGTTGTAATAAGAATAAAGGGCACCTGGGAACACAGAGTAGGAGCATCTAACTCAGATCTGGGGTATCAGGGAGGCTTCCTGGGGGGAGGACATCTCAAGTGAAGCTTGGTAGATAGGCAGGACTCAATCAGCTGAATCTGTGATTGGGGTCGGCAGAGCATGAATTAGGGCCTGGTTTGGGAGGACACTAGAATGCTCTTGCAGAAGATGAAGCCGAGAGCAAAGCAGAGCCTGGAGAAAGAGGAGCTGGAGTGACTCCTGGGGCTGCAGCATGCACGGCCCTGCAAACCGCATCCAGGAATTGACTGCCCTGAGCCCCGGGTGGCGGGGGCAGGGAGCTGACGGGTGGGGGCAACTAAAATATGTGAAGCCAACATGAGCTTTGGAAAACTGCTTCTGCTTGTATGGTGGAGACTGGCTGGAGGCAGGCAGGAGGCAGGAGGCTAGAGGGCAGCTCTCGGAGGAACAGAGGCAGGAAAAGTTGATGGCTGAACCAGGTGGGGACCTGAAGGTGGAGAGAAGGGACCCATTTGAGGGATCTGGAGCTGCTGAGCTCGGGGAGGAGCAGCTTGTGCTGGGTGTGAGGGAGAAGAAGAGCGGGGGGGGCTTGGGTAGACAAGAGGGTTGCCTATTCATGATGGAGGAAAGGCTGGTGGACGTGGTGATAAGGTGGGGGGGGGGGTCGGCCATGGTCAAAGGCAAGCACCGGGAGGCAGCAGGAGAGGTGAGCGTGAAACTCAGGACACAAACTGGGGTTGAGGCCAACAGTCAAGACCCACTGACCAGAGGGTGTTGTTAGCAGAAGCTGGAGGAGGAATTGTAGCACTGGAGCAGAGGAGCCAGGGGCGAACCCAGGAACACTGGCTTCGAGGTTAGATGCAGGAGGAGAGACCCACAGAGGACCCAAAGCAGAAATCTCCACAAAGTGGAATGGCTCCTGGGGGTGCAGGGCGGGGGGATGTCAAGGGCATGAGCATTGTAACTCCAATCCTGTGGTCAGCAGCCTCCAAGGCCCAGCAAGAGACCAGCTGGGGAGTGCTTCAGGCTGGGGAGACATCAGGCAGCAGGGGCTGAGGGGAAAATGAAGAGGAGACCCAGAGATGAGCCGAGAACATGGACCAAGGAGGAGAAAAGAGCCGCGCAGAACGTCTTGCTCGAGAAACCTTACATTCCTTCTTTCCCTATTTTTGAGAATCATCTGTCCTTGTAGACCCCGAGGACAAGAAGCCCACAGAAAGACAGCAGTTGGAAGAGAGGGAAGAGAGAGGGGCGCAGCCTCTGAGCTCCTGAATGGGCTGCAGCTTGGACAGAGGGGTCAGCCTCAAGGAGCAGGAGGGCAGACAAGGAAGGAGGGACCGAGCTGATGAGAGCCCCAGCAAACTTCCAGCTGCCAGCTGATTGGCTCACAGCAGCCCCAGCAAACTTCCAGCTGCCAGCTGATTGGCTCCTCTGCAGTGATGCTCATTGGGCTGTTTCCCAGCCCTTTCAGACCAGGAGCTGCTCATTGGGGGACTCTTTTGGCTCCACCCACACGACCCAGCCAATCGGCCTCAAGAGCAGGGGGAGTTTGGGGGGGGGGGTTGAGAGGCTTGTGAGAAGCCGGTGGTGGCAGTTGGGCTCTGAGGGAATTCCTGAATAGCTTCTGTGATAGGGTGTGTTCTAAAAATAAAGTTCCTTTGTGCTTGATCAGTGGCTCCTGAATTGGGCCCAGCCAGACTACAGCACCATGGGATGCAGGGAAGTGTCTGGGTGGGGGCAGACAGGTGGCAGGAGCTCCAGAAAGGTGGGTCTGTGCCTGTCTGCCCCACAGCCATGCCCCCGGTGCCCAGAACAGTGCCTGGCACCCTGGCTGGCTGCAGCCAGTCAGACGTGGGACGCCCACTGGGGACCATCTGCCCACTAGGGACAGGCAAGGTGAAGCACCTGCAGGTGAGAAACGCCTGCGTCCCAGGTGTGCTGAAGGGAGGGCGCTCTTACCCAGCCGGGCGTACAAAGTGGGTTCTCTGGGATCACAGGGTCTTACTCTATAAGGCACAGAAACGTGACACA